GATGCTGGAGGACGGCTGCCAGCGTTTATTCTTACAACCATTTTGAGCACGATTTAGTTCTGCATAAAAGTTGCTTTACTGGTTTTCAGACTAGGGCGGTCCATGGAGCTCACCCCACCTCCATCCCCCTGTCCCCACTGGCTGAGATAGCCAACCCTGTGTCTCCTCCCTCTGCCCAGCCTGCCCAGGGCTCCTCTTCCAGTTTGGCTTTGTAATTCCTTACTTGACCTGCCATACCAAGAAGGACTTGATTCTCCTCTTACCTCTAAGTGGATTCTCCCAAACCAAAAATCTCCCTCCTCCGGCTCTAGGAGGGTGTTTCTGTCAGGCGGGCGTCTTGCCCTGTGTGTTGTGGGCAGCCCTCTGTCTGGCACGTGACTGCAGAGGGTCATCAGCTACTGTCCCGGAGCCAGCGGTTTCTTGGGGCCGCCCCGTCCTGCCTCTGATTTTCCATCTCCTGCCCATTTTCAAAGGAGACATCTCTCCTGTCCTTACTGTCCCAGAGAGAAACCCCAATCCACTGCTTTTTAATTTACTTCCCACTCAGTTTTATCTCTTACGTTTCAAGGAGAGAGCCCACTTCTTGCCACCCACGATTTCCTTATTTCCTTGGATCGATCCCCCAGCCTTGTTGCTGGTCAGTCTGCCCTGCCCCCCACCCCCATGGCTGCACACTGGAGCCAAAATGTCTTCGGAAATAGAAATCTCATTGCATGCCCCCCACTTCAAAAACTCTCTGGTGGCTTTCCGTTTAAGTCCACACCCCTTAAAGGGACTTGTCAGGCTTCGAACCCTCTGAGCCCCATCCCCCAGGCTGCCTGTTTTCTGCGTGCCCCAGGAGGGCAGGGGTCCTGCCTTGTTCAGTGCAGAGCCTGGTGCCTGGTAATGGTTGTTTGGTGTGAGCGTGATGGTGCCGGAGGTGAGGCGTGTGCACTTCACTGTGATGGCTAGGCAGCAAGGTGCATCGAACTTCTTTTTCTAGGAGATGGACCTTAATTTTCTCATATTAAATTATTGTAGAGGCTGGGCATGGTGGCTCACACTTGTAATCCCAGAACTTCGGGAGGCTGAGGCGGGTGGATCTCCTGAGGCCAGGAGTTCGAGACCAGCCTGGCCAACCTGGTGAAACCTTGTCTCTACTAAAAATACAAAAATTAGCTGGGTGTGGTGGTGGGCACCTGTAATCCCAACTACTCAGGAGGCTGGGCAGGAGAATTGCTTGAACCCAGGAGGCGGAGGTTGCAGTGAGCTGCGTTTGTGCCACTGCACTCCAGCCTGGCAACAGAGCGAGACTCTGTTTAAAAAAAAAATCATAGAGGTTTATGGTGCCTCCTTTCCTCCCCATCCCGCCCTTCCCCTCCCCTCCCTCCCCTCCCCTCCACTCCCCTCCCCTTCCTTCTTGCCACATCTTTTGGTTGGAAGTGGATTTATTTGGTAGCACTCCTTGGGTCAGAAATGGAACTTCTCCTTGAAATACATTCTTGTAGAGAGAGAAATTGACCACGGCGTATTGTAGATTTAGTGTCTAGAAAGTTGGTATCTGAGAAGCACGACCTGCAGCTGTCATGCTGTCTGAAGGCGTGGTGTGTTATTTCCCACCCTCATGGGTCTCACGCCTGCTTCCTTATTTCTTGGAAGAGGAATTCCAAAACACAAGTTACCTGATGGCTGCTCAGAGCCCCGTGACTGGGATAGAGTCTCCTGTGAAAACCTAAGCCTCTGAGCCCAAGCTCAGGGTTCCTTCCCCTAGCCCCAAATGCTGCCCGCTCTGTTTACACACCTCCTGCACATCCACTGTGTTTACACACCTCCTGCACATCCACTCTGTTTACACACCTCCTGCACATCCACTCTGTTTACACACCTCCTGCACATCCTTGCTTTGCGCCTTGTTCTCGTGTCCTTTAGGGTCCTCCATTTTAGTCCAGGAGCAGACTGGCCCAGGTGCGGCCCCTGCAATGCAGCCTCATTCTCTGTGACCTCAGTTGGGTCCTCAGTATCCAGATTCCTAACGTCTCAGAGCCTCAGTTTTCCTGTCTGTGAAGCAGTCATTGCAGCAGTGCCCACCCTGTGGGGTTGCTGTGAAGATTGATCGAGAAAGCATGTTAAATCCCTTGACATAATAGGGGAACCGTCAATGTTAACTGCTGCCCTGACCGAAAGTTTGTTATTTTGAAATTTGCCACCTGCTAGCTGTGCGACATTGTGCGAGTTATTCAGCCTCTCTGAGCCTTAGTTTTCTGTTGTAAAATGGTGTTAGTGTAAGCGCTTACCCCTCATAGTATTGCTCTGAAGATTACATGAAATAATCTCTGTGGAGGGCTATGAATGGTACCTGGCCATAGTTACCGTCAGCTCACTGCAGCCTCTACCTCCTGGGTCCAAGAAGTTCTCCTGCCTCAGCCCCCCGAGCTAGGATTACAGGCCTCTTGTCGCCATGGCTGGCTAACTTTTGTGTTTTTAGTAGAGACAGGTGTGCATTTTACTGGGTTCAATTTTAAAAATATTTTAAAGCTTTATAAAAGAGCAACACATGGGATCCTTGTAAGTGGTAGATGTGTGAACCAACATAGGTGGTAACATTACATAGAGCCTCGTACACACACGTGCACACAAATGAGTGTGAGTGAAATGGGAACTGTGAGGAAAAGTCATGGGCATATCAGTGCTGATATCCTGCTGGGGATATTATGGTCTTGCAGAATGTTACCATTGGGGGGGCTGGACACAGGGTGTACAGGATCCCTCTGTATTAGTCCTTCCTTTTTTTTTTTTTTTTTTTTGAGATGGAGTCTCGCTCCACTGCCCAGGCTGCAGTTCAGTGGCACAGCTTCTGCCCCTGCCCCTGGGTTTAAGCGATTCTCCTGCCTCAGCCTCCCGAGTAGCTGGGACTACAGGTGTGTGCCACCACACTTGGTTACTTTTTGTATTTTTTTTTTTTTTTTAGTGGAGACGGGGTTTCGCCATGTTGGCTAGGCTGGTCTCAAACTCCTGACCTCAGGTGATCCACCCGCCTCAGCCTCCCAAAGTGCTGGAATGACAGGCGTGAGCTCCCACGCCCAGCCCCCTCTGTGTTATTTCTTGCGTCTGCTTGTGGTTATCTACCCATGACTGACTATATGAATAATTACAGTTATCTCAATTCAAAACTCAGCCTTAAAAATTTGAGTGTTATCTCTAAATAATACAGGGTCGGAGAAACAGCAGCTCTGAATCTTGTCATACAGAGAATAGAGCCGGGTTAGTTAAAAATGTAGCCCAGTTTCCTTTTTTCCCCAGGAAAGTGGAGGACTCAGTCCTTTGAGGAGAGTGGGGGCCAGTTAGGGGGGTGATTAGCAGGTCATCAGGTGACAACACAAATGTAAACACAGAGGCCACCTAACTGCTGCGGGCTGTTGCCTGGCGTATACAAGGTACAAGGTGCTGCAGGGGCATTGGGTGCTGGCCGGGGGCCGGGGTTTTGAGCTGCGCTCTTGCAGACCATCACAGCTGTGTGTGAAAAGAAGTAACTTGGTTGGTGGCATAGGAGTCTGAAGCACTTGTGTGACCTCGAGCTGGTGGACTATCTAGAGCAATCTGAGCTGGACTTCATCTACATCAAGTTAGATCCTGGTTTAAAGCTACTCTTACACATCTCCCTTGCTGCCCCTCCCTGGCAGCTCTGTCGGACGCACCATATTTCCCCGTCTTGGACAAGAAGGATCTCATGAAAGTGCTGGGTGGAGGGGTCCTGTCTGCTGGCTCTGGTGGTGCTGTCTTGGGAGGGTTTCAGATTTAGAACCAGATTTCAGGTCTCCTCCCTAAGCTAGAGAATCACTCCAGCAGATCCGATTTCTCTGAGCTAATTTGCTAGGATGATCTCTACTTGCATTTAATAAAATATTCAGAGACCTATTGAATTCCAGTTGCCGTTTGCCATTTGTAACACTGCTGAGTTTGACTTAGTAATACGCTTCAATTCCCAAATGTGTCGCACGGGCTGTCACTGAATGTGGGTCATCAGGAAAGCTTTGACTCTTAACAGAATTATTCACTAGAGCCTTAGTTACAGAGCATTACTGAGAAGTTATTTATTTCGTCCCAAAGTGGCAGGTTTCAGAAACGTTTGCACGCTGGCCATAAATCCATCCGTATTCACTCCTCCCCCCATAGAATAAAACTTATGCTACCTTCTTGGTGTTTGTTGAACTGCAAATCAATTCCTTGTCATTGATTTAAAATAAAACAACCCTGATGTATCTTTAGCAGACAAAAGCCTTCTTTTGTTTCACAACCCATTTCTTCAACGGAAGGAGAACAAAGACACGTCGTCCCAAAGTGCTTGTGTGCAGACTCTTACGACCACAGTGAATTGTGCATGTGATGAAATAGCACTCTCAGTGCATGTGCATGTGTATGTGTGTCTGGGCAATCGTAGCAGTCTTTTTAATGTATGTTTACAAAATAACAGGCTAGTTTTCATGGTATGGAGCTGGTTGCATCACCTTAGAATGTAGGCCACTTGGGGAGGAGGGGCTGCGCCATTATGAAATGACCAGTTTCGGACTATTGTTGAACAATTATGCCAACAGCTGCTTTCCGAAGGATCCCGCTCCGTTCCTGTGGCCGGGTCTGTGTGGTCAGCGGAGTCCAGGTCATTCTGATCATTCACACATGGGTGGCTGTGCTGGGGCCCGCCCCCCAGTCCAGTTTGCTGAGTATCTGTGAGGCCGGACCTCCTTCCCCTGCATCGCCTCACCCTCAGCACCTGCTCACACACACAGACAGAGCATGTGAAGGTTTCTCAGGGCTTGCACGTCCCCTTCCTGCAGACTCACCCTGCAGTCACTGGAACTGGGAATGGGGTCTGGTGGTGTGCCTACCGTGCGGGTTCAACGCAGCAGAGCCGGCGCCCCTCCGTGCCTGACGCGCAGCGACGCTAGGGGCTCTTTTTTACGTGAGGTGTTTGTTTGGCAGGTTTGTGACATCGGGAATCTCATTGTCGCTTTTATTTCTTACAGTTTTATGTGCTGAAAGAGTTGGCCAGATGACTAAGACATATAATGACATAGATGCTGTCACTCGGCTTCTTGAGGAGGTAAGTGCTCCAGGGGACGGCAAGAGTTGTTTATAAGGTCCTGATTTCCATGGATCCTGGTTAACCGTGCCTTACTGCCTGCTTCAGTCAGGAATCTCGGAAAGTGGGCTCTTTCGGGCTGTCATTTAATGGCTTTACCTTTTGAACTGGTAGCTGTGTTGGCCGGTACAGCTGTAATTTTGTGCAGGTATTTTATGTGTTTAAAGGAATATACGAATGACACCAAATGTGCTGCGTTTAAATACTTGGTAGAATATCCAGTTGTAAGTATAAAAAAAATCCTGGAACATTGATATATTTTAGGGTATCCAAAAATGTCAGAAAAACATATCATCATCTGTGTCTTCCTAATGTATTTTAAGTTTTTACGTAGGTTAGTGGAATGTTATGCAGTGTCAGCATGGACGTAAGCAAAATAAGCATGGCAAGAAACATTGAAGAAAGTTGCTTAAGATTGGGTGAGCTGCCTGCATTTTAGAGTCTGTGGTTTTCTGAATCTCTTCTGATATTCTACTGCAAGTTGAGAATTCAGTGCTGTGAAGGCCTCTAGAAACAGCCGAGTATGGTGTGTGTATCTGCATGCCGGGGACAGGCCGGGGACAGGCCGGGGACAGGCCGGAGCATGGTGGGTTCTTAGTGTTTATGGAATATGTGCCCATCATTAATACTCCACCCATCCCCTGAATCAGGCCTTAAATGGACAGATGCTGTCTAGACCCTTGCTCCTCCTCTAGACTCTGGAATGACTTTGGGGTGTGTGACTGTGATGTGGCGGACACAGAAATCATTGTTACTGTTTTCAGCCAGTGGGAGGTCAGAGTTGAAGCTCAGGCAGAAACGGGGTCACACTGTTTTTCCCAGAGGTTTTATTTTTTTTGAGACAGAGTCTCACTTTGTTGCCCAGACTGGAGTGCAGTGGCGAGATCTCGGCTCACCGCAACCTCAGCCTCCAGGGTTCAAGCGATTCTTCTGCCTGAGCCACCCGAGTAGCTGGGACTATAGGTGTGTGCCCCCACGCCCGGCTAATTTTTATATTTTTAGTAGAGACAGAGTATCCCCATGTTGGCCAGGCCAGTCTCGATCTCTTGACCTCGTGATCCGCCTGCTTCGGAAGGTTTCTTTGGGGTGTGTGGAATTCTCTCACCGTTTTTATGTCTCTCTCTCCCCATGTTTCTGCCTCTGCACATCAGCTTTCTCATCCTGGTCCTGCAATCCACTCCTGTTCGGTCCTCTGAAGTAGGGAGGTCACAGACTCATCAGAAACGATGTCAGGGTGTTTGGCCGTGTGACGGTGTCAGGGTGGTATTTGGGGCACCGGACTTCAGCCTTCGGCGCCACGCCCGTAGTGGCCATCTTTGGTGTCAGCCACGCGGCAGGCTGCCCTAGTTGGCACTGCTGACTTTGACAGTGGTTTATTGCTGGCCCCTGGCTACGGCGTCCGTTTCCCCCAGCAGTGCCCTCCAGAGCTTGCAAAGTGCTTCTGGTGCCCACTCATCACCCCTTGTTCAAGTCATCGAGTCTTCTGAGAGGGGTTCCAAACCCGTGCCTTTGTTGTCATTCCAAGGCCACCCCTCAAGCTCCTGGGGCCTCGGCAGTGAGGTCTTCCGTTCTCTCTGCTCCAGTCTTCCTTGCAGCTGCCCCGTCCGAGCCCTCTGTGATCCCCTCAGCCTCTCTCTGAGGTCCTCGAGGTCCTGAACCCTCCTCTTCCCCCCACCGTCTCTGGGGACGTGGCCCCTGCTCCCCCCGCCCGGCCCTCTCTGCCGTTTCACTGCCTCGGTTTCTTCCTGCTTCTCAGTCTTGCGCTGCAGGGCCCACCAGGGACCTTTGAAGCCGACCCCAACCCCCTCCCCAGTCAGCTGTGCCCTTGCCGACCCCAGGTGTAGGAGTCACCCCCCAGGCTCGTTTGTTCTGTGCATCCAGCTGGATGAATATTTATTTTTTATTTTTTGTAGAGATGGGATCTCCCTGTATTGCCAAGGCTGATCTTAAACTCTGAGGCTCAGTCTTCCTGGCCTGGTGCAGGGCCTCACGCCTGTGAACCCCAGCACTTTGGGAGGCCAAGACAGGTGGATCACTTGAGCACAGGAGTTTGAGACCAGCCTTACCAGCACGGCCAAACCCTGTGTCTACAAAAAATACAAAAATTAGCCAGGTATGGTGATGTGTGCCTGTAATCCCAGCTGCTGGGGAGGCTAAGGTGGGAGGATCACTTGGGCTCGGGAGGTGGAGGTTGCAGTGACCCGAGACCGCGCCACTGCACTCCGCCTGGGCACCAGAGCGAGACTCCGTCTCAAAAAAGCAAACCAAAAATTAGAACCCCACTGCAGCAGCACGGTCACTGTTTATGTGAATCTTGCTCTCACCTTGGCCTCCCAGAGTGCCGGGGTCACAGGCGTGAGCCGCTGCACCCAGCCTGTTTCATGTTTAAAGCCTGGTCATGGCAACAGTCTGTTTGTGTCTGTGTGTTCCGTGTGTAATGCCATTCTGTCCCTGTTCCGGTAAGACTCACGCCTGAGTCACTGCCTTTCCTGGAACTAGGCGGTGTCCCGGTTAAAGTCCCACTGTCCCAGTCCTGCGGCAGCTGCGCTGTGCCGCGCCTTTCCTGGGCTTCGGCCGTTTCTTCTGTTCTCGTGCTGTGGTTTGCACGGCCGCCACCGGCAGGCAGGCAGGTGCCGGGGGATTTCCTCAGGACGCAAAGCACAGCCCTCCGCCGGCCGGGAGTCTGCCCTGGCTCTAAGGTGAGGAGGATGCTGAGGTTCGCCTGGGCTGCCTGGGCTGCACCTCTGGGCAAAGCCTGCCTCCTCCTCAGTTAGAGAGGGGATTCCACTGGCCCCTTAGTCACGCTTTTTACCTGGAACTTGGTGAATGGGGTGAGTCAGTTGCTACGCGTAGGCGGCAGGCTGTTGGAATCTCTAGTGGGTGTGCCAGTCACTGCAGGAGTTCATTGGTGAAAAGGGGCTGAGCCTCGAGTTACGGTCTTTTTAAGTCTGTGCTTTTAAAGCTCAGTGAGGAGAGGGAGCCCGCAGTTAGAAGGAGCCCTAGCTCGCCTCATTTCCTGGGGAATAAAGGAACTAGTAGCTCTTTTAACGGCTTATTTCCAAGGGCCTCAGTTACTTGTTTGCGGGCTCTTTTTCTCGTTGTAGTTTAATCGGTGGCCGTCCTCTAGCGGTTTTCTTGTTTCTTTTTTTTTTTTGTAAAGATGGGTGTCACCATGTTGCCCAGGCTGGCCTCAAACTCCTGATTCTCCCACTGTGGGCTCCCAGAGGGTTGGGATTACAGACATGCATTGCCACTCCTGGCCTGCTTTCTTGTGTTTAGAAGTAAACACTTACCATATTTTGGCTAGAGAAATGGGAGGTTTTTTTCATTCTTGTAATTCCCAAAACCTGCAATGCAATAAAATAAGTAAATGGAAAAAAAAAGAAAGGAAAAAAAAGAAAAACCCAACCAGCCTGTTGCCTTAGTAAAATTAAAGAGAAAAAACTAGAGACGCTACAATAACGTTTTTGTTTAAATTTTCATTTCATCTGTAAATATTTTTCATCGAACTTCTCTTTATGTTTAATTTCTGTGAGTACAGAGTAGGTGAATGTATTTATGGGGTACGTGAGATACTTTGATAAAGGCAGATGATGCCTAATAATCACATCAGGGTAAACGGGGTATCAGGCTGAGCACTGTGGCTCACGCCTGTAATCCAAATACTTTGGGAGCCTGAGGTGGGAGATTGCTTGAGGCCAGGGGTTTGAGACCAGCCTGGGTAACAGAGTGAGACCCTGTCTCTACAGAAATCTAGACTCTGTAACTGAGGCAGAGGCAAGCTTTGCCCAAAGGTGCATTCCAAAAGTTACATAGGCGTGGTGGCGCATGCCTGTGGTCCCAGCTACTCAGCAGGCCGAAGCGGGAGGGCTGCCGGAGCCCAGGAGCGTGCGGCTGTGGTGAGCTGTGACTGCACCACCCCACTCAAGCGCAGGCCACAGAGCGAGACCTGTCTCAGAAAAAGAAGGTGGAGGCAGGGAGAAAGACAAGGGCGCCATCACCTCAAGCGTTTGTCATTCCTTTGTGTCATAACCGTTCCAATCACACTTTTAGTTATTTTTAATGTGGAATAAATTCCTGTTACCTGTAACCACCCTGTTATGCTGTCAGATACCAGGTCTCATTTGAACTATTTTTTTTATACCCATTTGCTATGACTTCTTGCTTTTTCTTATGGCAGAGAGTATTCTTTAAAATTAAAGATCACATTTCTGGTATCGACCAGGGAAGTGTTTGTCTTTATGGGGCAAGAAGAGGCGAGGCAGCTCTCAGGTGAAGGGTTTGAGGTGTGACCGGCAGACAGAGGACTTCATTGTTGAGCTCACCGCCCGGACTGTTTCTCTTCCCCGTCCCGTCTCCCAGTTCCTGTTGGTTTCTGGCCTTTTGTGAGCCTTCCGCATCCTTCAGGCACGCTGGCATTCTTTGCCTTGCCTGACGCAACTTCATATTATACTTTGTGCTTCATTTGTTTACACTGAAATGTGCGTGCAGGATGTGGTAAAGTCCAGGTGGGTGCGGCGGCTCACGCCTGTAATCCCAGCGCTTCGGGAGGCTGCGATGGGTGGATTACTTGAGGTCAGGAGTTCGATACCAGCCTGGCCAACATGGTGAAACCCCATCTTTACCAAAAATACAGAAATTAGCTGGGTGAGGTGGCGTGTGCCTGTAATCCCGGCTACTCAGGAGACTGAGGCAGAGGAATCACTAGAACCCAGGTAGCAGAGGTTGCAGTGAGCCAAGATCTCACCACTGCACTCCAGCCTGGCAACAGAGCGAGACTCCATATAAAAATATACATGTGTGTGCGTATACATGGCCAAGGCATGCAAAGTATCAGCGCTTGTTGGAACTTGGCAGCCTGCGTGCCTGAAGGCAATGCAGAACAGGTAGTGAGGTGGTGAACTGAGGAGCACTGACGGAGCGCCTGCCGAGTGTTCTACACGAGACATTTGGTAGACCCGAGTTAGATTTATGGAGACCACACTTCCAAGGGGAAGCGAACATTGGTATTGCAGTTTTAACCAAATCCAGCTGAAAGCATGTGGGCTGGGTGCTGGTCTTGAGTGAGCCCCTGGAGACTTTAATTCTGTGCAGTCTCCCTCACACGAGTCTTTGAACCCTTTCCTCTAGGTGCCTAATCAGCACAACTGTTCAGTCTGAGACATGGCAAAGGGCTATGAGATAAGGGACCTTTCTTTCCATTTTGTATCTTGAGATGGGGTCTCCTCTGTTGCTCAGGCTGGTCTTGAGCCCCTGTGCTCAGGAGACCCTCCGGCCTTGGCCTTCCAAAGTGCTGGGATTGCAGGCATGAGCCACTGCCCCCGGCCAAGGGAACTTCTTAGTAGACACTGTGACCAGCGTGGATAAATGTGCAGGAATGAGCATCTCGGTTGATTGAGAAGACTCATGGGCCCTCTCCACATGTACTGTTTCCAGAAAGGAAGCGTCACAATGAGGAGGCTCAGGTGTGGGAATGGGTTGGGGAATGGCAAGTTCTTTTTTTTTTTTTTTTTTTTTTTTTTTTTTGAGACAGAGCCTCCCTCTCTTACCCAGGGTGGAGTGCAGTGGGGTGATGTCAGCTCACCGCTCGCTCTGACTCCTGGGTTCAAGCGATTCTCTGACCTCAGCCTCCCGAGTCACTGGGATTACTGGCCCCCACCACCACACCTAGCTAATTTTTGTATTTTTAGTAGAGATGGGGTTTTTGCCATGTTAGCCAGGCTGGTCTCCACCTCCTGACCTCAAGTGATCCCAAAGTGTTGGGATTACAGGCGTGAGCCGCTGCACCCGGCTCATTTTTGATAACTGTGATACCTGGCTGGCTTCTGGGACTGTGGTGACAGCAGTGCCATTTTGGGGACTCTGGAGGGCCTGGAGGAGCGAGGCCGCCGCCCTGTGAGAGGGAGCCGAGGTGCAGTTGAGTCCAGTCTTAGACCTCAAGGGCGATGCTCATCTTCAGTGGAATTCGTGGGCTTTGCAAAGGGAGATGTGGTGCGATTGCATGGAATAATTTGGTGGATGTCTAAGAAGTTAGGAATAAAAGTTGATTATTCTACTTATTCTAAAACTCAATGAGTCATAAGGCTAGAAGAGTTTTTCTAGAACATCTCAGCTAGCCTGCCCCTTCACCTCCCTTTAACAGCTGAGGGAACCGCATTCACATAGAGAACCCATGGTCTCCCAGCGTGCGGTAGGCTGGTTCATCTGGAGCAGCGGAACCTGTGACCAGTACCTGCTGTAAGAAGCACAGCTTAGGTTGTGACCCAGTACCCACATAGGCAAATACGTGACGAGACAACAGTTTAAACATGAAGTAATACTCTTATTACATGTGATGCACTTTGGTGTTTTCCGTTCTGTGCCACTGTATTTAAGTTAAAACAAAAGGTTGGTTGCTGTCACTAAAATGGTCTCTCAACCCACTAATGGGTTTGAAACCCGTGGTCTGAAAAATGAATCTGTTGGCTGAAGGCAGCAGCTTCTGCTTGTAATCCCAGCACTTTGGGAGCCGAAGGAAGGTGAATCACTTAAGGTCAGGATTTGAGACCAGTCTGGCCAATGTGGTGAAACCTCGTCTCTACTAAAAATACAAAAATTAGCTGGGCATGGGTGGTGCGCACCTGTAATCCCAGCTACTGAAGAGGTCGTGGCAGGAGAATCGCTTGAACCTGAGAGGCAGGGATTGCAGTGAGCCAAGATCGTGCCAAGTACTCCTGCCTGGGCAGCAGAGTGAGACTTCGTCTCAAAAATAAAAAAGAAGAATCTGTAGCGTGCCTGATCCTGTGAGGCAGAAGCCCTTTGCCTGGGACCGTGTGGGAAGTTAATAGCAGGTGCCGGGTCAGAGCCCAGGACCCCTCCCCAGCAATTTTCCTGCCCCAGAGAACACGTTCCATTCTTTCAAACCAGATGAACAGAGTCATTGGCAGAGACTTCTAAAATGATTTCGTTTTTCTGACTTCTCCTCCCTTTGCCAACACCCAAGTTGAATCAGACAGTGGTAGCAAATCACCAAGTCTGCATTTGCTCACGGCACCTGTGCACTATCCAGGACGTCTTTCTTCCCACAGAGGCTGCCCTGCCTTTACACGCCACTCCCACTTTTCCTCTGTGTTTTTTTGTGTGTGTGTTTTTTTTTTTTTTTTTTTGAGATAGAGTCTCGCCCTGTCTAACTCATGCCATCAGCTGAGCTAACAGAAAATTCTGTGCCTTAAGCATGTTTTTGTCTGTGAAGTATGGCCATGTGATGCCCAATAGCTCCATTTCGGAAGTTGTTTGTTTCTTAATGAAGCTTGAGTAGCCTTTTCTAAGTAAAAAACAAAACAAAACAGAAAAGCACGTCATTGTTTTACAGAGTAACTTTAAACATTTTTGTTTCACATGAGGCAAAAACAAGAAACTCAATGCATTCCAGCCTACTGTGTGCTAGACAGGCTGCCTCCCTGGGTCAGCTCTTGGCTTCATTGTAAGAGCATTTTAGAATTTCTATATTCATTCATTCATTCACTTAACAAATAGCTTAACAAACAGCTACGGCTAGCAAGTAGCCCTAGCAATGCCATAGCCCACCCCAACTATCCCGTGATTGCACAGTCACAAAGCAGTTGCATACAACTGTTTTGAGAAGCGTGTTTTTCTTTTGTGTAGGAACAAAGCCTTTCTCGTTACATTTTCAGGCCTCCCTTCTACTGCCTGCCGTCCGTGCAGCTCTCACGCGATGCGGGCAGGGGTTGCACCTGTTGTAACAGGCATCAGATGCCAGCACGGATGCGAATGATTAATTCCCCTGTTGTTCCTAGATGCCCTTGTTTTCCTCACTTGGCGCAGAGCACCGCTGGCTCCCTCAGGAAACACAGGTCTTTTGAACCCCTGTTCTCCCTCTTTCCTTCCGCAGAAAGAGCGGGATTTGGAATTGGCCGCCCGCATCGGCCAGTCGTTGTTGAAGAAGAACAAGACCCTCACGGAGAGGAACGAGCTGCTGGAGGAGCAGGTGGAACACGTCAGGGAGGAGGTGAGAGCGGCGGCCGAGGCTTGCGGAGGGCCCGGGGGCCGTGGGCACGGCTGAAGGAGAAGGCTGAACAGGGTCCTGGTTGGAAGGTCCCTCCCGGGGGCACCACCACGGCCGGAGCCCAGAACCGTCTGCTCCGAGACGGGCAGCTAGGGCCTGAAAGTCACCCCCCTGCAGCTCCCGCCCTGCCAGTGCCTCCTGTCTGTCTCCGGCAGTGAGGATGGGTGGATCAGGCAGGCACGGCCCTCACTCAGTCGCACGCCTGTGTGCCGTGTTGGGTCAGCCACAGTCCTTGCCCTCGGAGAGTCCAGGCTGGTCCAGGCGCCCCACGCGTGTCAGAAGGGCATCCGGGCAGCCACCCCAACAAGCAGGGCTTCCCGAGTCAGGCTGGGCGTGCACAGCTGGAGAGGAGCCCTGTGAGGACGTCAGCTCTGCACACAGAGGAAAGCGGAGACTCACGTCATCGTGACAGTGTAATTTTGTACTGTAAAGCAAAACAAAACAACAAGGCCTATTGCTTTCATGACAGAGCCCTCTTATTTCCATGATGTGAGTCTTGGCTGGCGGCTATGAGAGGTGAGAGGAAGGGTATGCAACTTTTGGCCCAGCTTAGGGTGCCTCGGCTTAGAAGGAGTGATCCTGGTTTTCTGGAAGGGACGTGGTGTGCACGGAGGGGGCAGCTGTGGGGTCGGGGGGATGGCTGGAGCAAAGATAAGAGGCTTAGAGCCGCGCCCTCCTTAGGAGTTTCCTTTCTGTCACCCTGTTCTTTTAACAGTGAATTTTAACTGTGAGAACTCTCCTCCTTGTTTCTTTTCCTCACTTTTCATTTCTTCTTTTTGAGGCAAGGGTTCACTCTGTCCCCCAGGCTGGAGTGCAGTGGTAAGATCACAGCTCACTGTAGCCTCCACCTCCTGGATTCAAGTGATCCTCCCACCTCAGCCTCCTGAGTAGCTGGGACCACAGCTACTCATGTTTTTTTGTAGAGAAGGGTTTCACCATGTTGCCCAGGCTGGTCTCAAACTCCTGGGCTCAGTCTCCCAGAGGGCTGGGATTACAGGCGTGAGCCCCTGTGCCTGGCCTCTTCTCCCTTGTTTTCTGTCAGAATCTTCCTTAGTGGGAGTGGATGCTCTGGTACCTAAGATGCCTTCAAACTTCTTTCTTGTTAAAGCTATTCCCAGTACATTGTTGTCTGGGTTTAACAATAGTTTTAATATGATGAAGCATAGTTGCTACCGTATAGAAAAGTTTTAATCCTAGCTTTTCTTTAAAATACAATAAGGGAGAATGCTGTTGTATTTTAAGAGAAATAAAGTGATTCCTGCATTCCCTGTCCCCAGCGTCATGACCTGGATTCCCTCTCATGTGACTGATGGGAAAGCTTGCTGGGTCAGGCTGGCCCCCTCCCGGCCACTTCTGAGCAGAGAGACCTGCCACCCAGTAGCCCACAAATGGTCACCTGTCGGCTTGTTCACTTTGCTGTCCTTGCTTGGGACAGGCCTCACTTGCACAGAGGATGCAACTCTCTGGGAGTGGAAATGCCTTTTCCCCTTGGAAAAGCTTCGAACATGAAAGCTATTACATCTTTCCCGTTGGCGTATTATTCAATTATCAGTCTCGGTGTCGAAGCTAAACCCTTTATGCATATAAAATAGTCTTCTCCATGGAAGACATCGTAATTCACTGTGTTATGTAGAAAAGTTGCAATAAACCACAGACCCTAGGTCAAATGACAAACGAGAAAATTAGAACATAATTGCGGTTCTTTTTCTAGCACTGGTTCCCTGTTCATCAGCACTGCAGAGTGAAGGGCAAATGAAACACTTTACAGTAGAACTGTATTTGAAAACCTTAAGTACAAATCGGGGTGGTCTGCAAAGCCACCTCAGCAGGAGTCGGTGTGGCCTTCCCTGATGGTTGCCTCCGTTCTTCCTGTGTCTGAAATTCTTATCCAGTGAGCAGCGAACACAGAACGAGGTCTGGCCAGGCACGGCCAGAAGCCTTATGAGGGTGCATCACAGAGTGGGCTGTGCAGTCGTCCGAGCATGAGAGCCAGGTCGGCAAGCTGCCTGTGCTGGCCCAGGCAGACCTGGCATCGCCAGGATCCTGTTTGGAGCTGGGATTTGGTTCTGGCAGCAGTGAATGAATGGCCTCCTCCTTCATAACGTGACCCATCTTTCTGGCCACTTGCCCAGCTGGTCATCTGGCTGCATCCAAAGCCCCTGGTAGTCTCATCCCCCACAAGCGTCATTCCTTTTTTGAGACAGAGTCTCGCTCTGTCACCCAGGCTGGAGTGCGATGGCACGATCTCGGCTCACTGCAACCTCTGCCTCCTGGGTTCAAGTGATTCTCCTGCCTCAGCCTCCCGACTAGCTGGGATTACAGGCTTGTGACACCATGCCTGGCTAAATTTTTTTTTTTTTTTTGAGATGGAGTTTTGCTTTTGTCGCCCAGGTTGGAGTGCAATGGCGCAATCTCGGCTCACCGCAACTTCCACCTCCTGGGTTTAAGTGATTCTCCTGCCTCAGCCTCCTGAGTAGCTGGATTACAGACATGTCCACCACTCCCGACTAATTTTGTATTTTTAGTAGAGACGGGGTTTCTCCTGTTGGTCAGGCTGCTCTCAAACTCCCGACCTCAAATGATCCACCTGCCTCAGCCTCCCAAAGTGCTGGTATTACATGCATGAGCCACCACACCAGGCCTAATTTTGTATTTTTTGTAGAGTTGGGGTTTCACCATGTTGGTCAAGATGCTCTAGAACTCCTGACCTCAGATGATCCGCCCGACACCTCGGCCTCCCGAAATGCTGGTATTACAGGCATGAACCACGGCACCCGGCCACCACGCGTCATTCTAGTCCCCTCTCTGCTGTTCCTTGTACCAAAGTAAAAATTACAAATTCAGACAGTTTTTTGCCAAAAAGTGTTTCCTTTAAATAGACCAAATGAAAGCCTATTGTTTTGAGCAGCACAAAATCAGTTTAAATGCTTTTACTTTCAATGGTGAATTTTAAGAAAATACTGTCACCAAGTGGTAAGTGTTGGAAGGTGGGTTGGGATGGCATTACCTTTGGGAAGCAAATGACGCCCTGGCTCTGCCTGTGCAGGTGTCTCAGCTCCGGCATGAGCTGTCCATGAAGGATGAGCTGCTTCAGTTCTACACCAGCGCAGCAGAGGAGAGTGAGCCCGAGTCTGTTTGCTCAACCCCGTAAGTCACCAGAGGGCTGTGTTTCCAGAGGCCAGAGCACAGGCTGGCCGCTGTTACGACCTTAGGGTCACCTAGACAGGGTCACCTTCATCAGCAGTGGGGGTCACCTGTGCCTAGCCTTCTCTGGGCCAAACGTCTCCAAGTGCCTCAAACAGATTCATGTTACTGTTTTAGTGGGACCAAGTGGACAGGTTTTTATTTTTCCTTTTCCTGGGTCTTATTGCTTATTTGTCAATTTAGATCGATGTGCCCTGGAGCATTAGTGGACCATGGGTTAGGCTCTGCTGTTGGAGGGAATTCAGGGTTCTGGAGCCAGAGGTGCTGGGGCACGTCCTTGGGACAGAAGGTGTGGCATCTTCTCTGAGTCCGCAGAGCCTTGTGTCGGGAGCATGAACTCTAGCGCCCAGCAGGCTGCTGCACATCTTGGCTCTGGGCCTCACTAGCTGCATGCTGTGGGCTAGATTACTCAATCTCTGTGACTTGAGTTTTCATCTGTAAAATGGAGATAGCAGTAGAACTTAGGTCACAGTTATAAGCATTAATTGAGTTGAAACATACAGAGTACTTAAAAGAGTTCTTGGCACATACAAATGCATTATGAGTATCAAATAAACTCCCAGACATCCTGGAATTGTGTAGGCTTTAAACAGAGTTGGTGGCTCTGAGTTCCGAGGTGACGTGGCAGGTTGTGGGTACAGGGTTGAGCTGTGGGTCTGAATCGGTGCACCAGGTGCTGTCTTCCTGGGGGTGGGAGAGTGGTCTGGTGGGTCCCTGCCCTTCTGCACGCCCCTCCTTGTGTCTGCACACGGTTTCCCAGGTGCTGGGGGGAAGCGTGTCTCCCCGGATCGTGATTGTACTTTCTCCCCCAGGTTAAAGAGGAATGAGTCGTCCTCCTCAGTCCAGAATTACTTTCATTTGGATTCTCTTCAAAAGAAGCTGAAAGACCTTGAAGAGGAGAATGTTGTACTTCGATCCGAGGTGACGTGCACTCCCTGCTCTTGCCCCTGCTGGAAGGGAGGTGGCCCCATTTGCCTTATCTGGCGAGGTCAGCCAGGGTTAAGTGCCCTCCTCAGAGGTGGCAGTCTGTGAAGAGCTGTGCCAGGCGCTCAGCAGACGTGCCTCCACTATGCTCCGGGCACTGCCTTCCAGCCCAGCACACGCCTCCCTGGCTGCTGAATGACACAGCGAGGGGACTGGGAAGACTGGACACCCCTCCTTCACCATCAGCCCTGTAGCAAGGTCTCCCCGGTGTGCTCCAGCTCTGACCACAGCACCTGCGGAGAAGCCCAGCCTTGCTTTCATGCTGCCACAGAGCAGATGCTCACAGCCAGATTTCTTTTTTTTCTTTTGTTTTTTTTTTTTTTTCTTTTTTTCTGAGACAGAGTCTCACTATGTCACCCAGGCTGGAGTGCAGTGGTGCAACCTCAGCCCGCTGTAATCTCTGCCCCCGGGGCTCAAGCAATTCTCCTGTCTCAGCCTCCCAAGTAGCTGGGATTCTAGGCGTGCGCCACACGCCCAGCTAATTTTTGTATTTTTAGTAGAGACAGGGTTTCACCGTATTAGTCAGGCTGGTCTCGAACTCCTGACCTTAGGTGATCCACCCACCTCAGCCTCACAAAGTGCTGGGATTACAGGTGTGAGCCATTGTGCCTGGTAGAGCCGTATTTCTTAACTCAAAAAGCCTGAGCCGAGGTGACTGGGGACCCGTGCTGTTACTTTTGTTGCCAAGGGATTGTGCCCGGGCTTTTGCCCGCCTTGTTTTTTTAGTCTTCACAACAGGGCTGAAAGTTCCTTCCTCTGATTCTCATTGGGACAGTGGGCCCCGGGCTGCTAGGTGTTTTGATAACCCAAGGTCATTCAAGTGAGTAAATGACAAAGCTACGATTTGCAAGTCTGTGACTCTAAGCCCCTGTTTTCTGCCTCCACCCACTGCCCCCTCTAGAAACACCAATGTGTGCAGATTTAGTACCATCTGTCTTAATCAGTGGTGACTTTCTGTCCTTTGGCCAAAGTACAGCCTGTTTATCAGGCCTGTGTCAGGTGGGAGCTGTGTGCCCACCTAGGCTGGCCCTGGGCTCTTGGGAGCCCCTCGAACAGTCCAGACCGACTGTCGAACTTGCCCACACCTTGGTAAGATCTTCACACCCCACCTGAGCAAGATGCTCTTCTGCACACCCTGTTCTCTTGGACCTCACCTCTTCCAGCCCCTTGTTCACTGATGGGTCACGTAAACCCAGACTGACCAAGAAGGCTGCCCAGGTTTCCTCTGCCAGCCAGTAGCCAAGCAAGGCAGCAGCCCCCTGCTGCCCATTCCCAGTCCAGTGCCACCTCTTCCAGCACCTGACGCAGGTAAATGCTCCAGCCCCAGGTGCCCAGGAACTCAGCCCTGTCAGAGTCTTCACCCAAAGCCAGCTGAGGGAATCCGATCCCAGCTACAGACTCCTGCTACCCCACCTCCGCTCCGAGTGTAATGTCTTTCTGGAGCCAGGACCCAGGGCTCAGACACTTCTGTCTAACTGGGGCCCTCCCTCCCCCTCTTCCTTCTTCCCCTCTCTCTCTTTCTTTTTTTGAGATGGGGTCTCGCTCTGTGACCCACGCTGGAGTGCAGTGGCATGATCTTGGCTCACTGCAGCGTCCTCTGCCTCCTGGGTTCAAGCAGTTCTCCCTCCTCGGCCTCCCGAAGTGCTGGGATTCTAGGTGTGAGCCACTGTGCCTGGCCTTCAGATGTCTGTCATCCCACGCTTTTCAGCCAGAGCAGGTTGTCCAGAGTCCTGGGACGGTTCTTGTGCCTCTGCATCGTCATGCTTTTGTGTTGAGCCTTGTTCACAGCAGGTTTAAGTGCAACCCAGAACCTCAGGGTTCGGTGCCTGGCACATAGCAGGTGTTTGCCATTCCTACGTGGTTATCCTTAGGGTGCCTGCTGTGGGCAGGGTAGTGTCCCAGGCACTGTGAGGGCCACAGAGCATCCACATTTATGAGCCGGGACAGCCAAAAATGGACAGACAGGAACAGATGCCAGGATAGGATGGTGAAGCCGCAGAGCGCCTGTGCCCGCGGCTCTGCGCGGCACCCTCTGGCGGTACACGGTTCTCGTCGTGAGCGCGCACGGCCCTTAACTAGGCGGGGACTCGGATGGACTTTGTGTATCTGAGGCTGCAACGGGGACACGTGGGGGCTGCAGAGGGCAGCTGCCCGCCCAGACCCAGGTTAGCCCTGGCTTTACGCCTCGGCCCGTGTCTGCCCCACCTGGCCAGGTGAGAACGCGCGGCGTCTGACCTGGGTCTCGTCCGCAGGCCTGCCAGCTGAAGACGGAGACCATCACCTACGAGGAGAAGGAGCAGCAGCTGGTCAACGACTGCGTGAAGGAGCTGAGTGCGTCCCGCCCCGCCCCGCCCCCCCCCCCCCCGCCCCGCCCCCTGCCCCGCCCCACCCCGCCCGCTGCCCCGCCCCGCCCCGCCCGCTGCCCTGCATCCGCTGTCGTGGTGACACAGGCTCGCAGCAGCCCTGCTGAAAGGCAGCTTCCTGCCAGCCCACAGCTCAGCAGCATTTTCCCTAAAACCAGAGGCCTCCCCAGCCTTGCGTGGCACCCCCTCCCCATTAATCAACTTAGTGCTAAGTTGCCAGCTATGCGTTATCTCAGTTTATTACTGAGGTGGATATTTAAATTTCATTTTGGCTTTCTACTGGAATATTGGAATTATTATTATTATTTTGAGATGGAGTCTCACTCTGTCACCCAGGCTAGGGTCCAGCGGCGTGACCTGGGCTCGCTGCAACCTCTGCCTCCTGGGTTCAAGCAATTCTGTCACTTCAGCCTCCCAGGTTTACAGGCACCCGCCACGATGCCTGGCTAATTTTTATATTTTTGTAGAGACAGGGTTTCACCATGTTGGCCAGTCTGGCCTTGAACTCCTGACCTCAGGTGATCCGCCCGTCTTGGCCTCCCAAGGTGCTGGATTGTGAGCCGCTGTGCCTCGCTGGAATATTGGAATTTTTTAATGTCTAAGTTAGGGCCACCCACAGAAACCTGTGTTGCTAATGTGGAAGGACAGCTTACAACCAATAATTTGATGTGTGGAAGTTGAGGCCAGAGTTCTCACCTTTGCAAATAAATATGTCCCTCATCCTCTTCATTTTAAGTCTACAAGTTAAGACAAAAGGTCAAAACACTAAGTATTTTGCATTTCAGCAAAATACTAAGTAAATGAAACACACCTCATGTTCCAACCTAGCTGAATGAGTGCTCGCTCTGCATATGGGTTGGAAACCCCAAGGGATGGCGCTGTGCAGGCAGAAGCTCCTTTCTAGAACTGGGCACAGCAGCGGGTGCCTGTGTAGTCTCCTGGATTGCTCACGTGTGGAATGTAAGGATTTGGCCAGGTGCACTCATGTCTCCTCGCTTTCTGTCTGACCCCCAGAGCTTCCCTTCTTTGTTCTGGGGACACAGCCTTGGTGTCCCCAGAACAAAGGGTGGCCTTGGGGTGCCACGCTGAGTCCAGGAGTGACAGCTAATGGGGTGAGCTGCTTGTTCTGAGCCCTGCAGAAGCTGCTCTGCTTCTCCATGTGGGAAAATGGTCACTGTGAGTTCCTTCTTCCTGCACCCTCTCCACTCCAGCTGTCTTATAATAAGCACGGTTTTTCTTGTGCAAAGCGCATAGAAACTTTTCTGTCTGGGTCTGCATGTGTGGTTTTCTGACTAGCTCTTGTGATTGTTTCTTTGTCAAAGGGGATGCCAATGTCCAGATTGCTAGTATCTCAGAGGAATTGGCCAAGAAGACAGAAGATGCTGCCCGCCAGCAAGAGGAGATCACACACTTGCTGTCGCAAATAGTGGATCTGCAGAAAAAGGCCAAAGCTGTAAGGCTTCTCTGTTTTCTGGCTGCTACAATGGCCATGCTGAGGTGGGGAAGAGACGCTTACTCCAGAAGACAGCGCCCTTTTGTTTCAGTCCTAGCAGTTGTGTTGCCCCTCTGCAGGAAAAGCTCAGTGGGCTCAGCAGTATAAAACTGATTACCCTGAGTGGCTGACAAGCCTCAGTTGTGACCTCTTGTCTCCTAAAACTATTCAAACTCATTAAAAAGATGCTGTAAATATGGACTTTTGGAGTTTAACTCATGGATCATCTAGTCTAGTGTTTGTTTTGCACAGTGCACTAGGTATGTTCTGCAGTAGAGCAGAATCCTCTTCAGATTTAAGAAGAGGCAACAAAATTGGCTTTGCTCTTGGTGTAGGGTAAAGTGCTTCCAGTGAGCTTTGGAAGTGGGGGATGGGGTGGAGGGCTGTAGGGAATGAATGTAGATCTAGGAAAGACTTTACCTTCAAAATCATATGAAAAACAGAACTTGAATATGAGATGAGCATGTCCTCGTAGAAAGTGATGAGATCATCGTGGATTAGGTTAATGAGGGGGGAAGGCTGGGCAATCTGAGTGTCTTAGAAAATGTTCTATCTTTACCATGCTGTAGTGCGCGGTGGAAAATGAAGAGCTCGTGCAGCATCTGGGGGCCGCGAAGGATGCCCAGCGGCAGCTCACGGCCGAGGTGAGCATCCCTTGTTCCTGCAGCGAAGGCGGACCAGCCTTCCCCGACGGCAACAGTCCCGTCCATCGTAACCACTGTTTTTACTTTGAATTTCATTTCATTTTTATTCGTGGGATAGTAAACCCAGTTGCATCTCGATTCTGTACTCACTGGCACAGTTGCTGGTTCTGAGCACCTGTGGGGTGGGCTCTATACCAGCTGAGCCTGGCAAGTGCAGGTGCCCAAACCGTGTTCAGAGAAATGAAATGGAGCCACACACAGCACTCTGGGAGAGGAACCTCATGCACAGCTGTGGCTTGAAACATGGGTGTGACAATTTTCTTTCTCTTTTTTTTTTTTTTTTTTTTTTGAGACAGGGTATCATATGTCACACACGCTGGAGCACAGTGGCATGACCATGGCTCACTGCAGCCACAGCCTCCCCAGGCTCAGGTGATCTTCCTGAGTGTCTGGGACTACAGGTGTGGGCCATATCCCCACCTAATTTTTGTTCTTTTGTAAAAATGGGGTTTTGCCATGTTGCCCCGGCTGGTCTCAACTCCTGGGCTGCAGTAATCTGCCTGCCTTGCCCTCCCAGTGGGCAGGGGCTGAGATTACAGATGTAAGCCATCATGAGTAGTCTGATTTTTCTTTTGCATGAAGTTGGTTTTATTTCATTTGCCTGCTGTTGGTATTTTAGAAGGTGTCTGAGTCTGTAAGCTTGCCTCAAGTCAGAGAAAAAGCAAGCCTTTGAAAATTCTGTAATTTGGCCACAGGCCCACAGGGCAGCTGGTTCCACTCGTGCTGGGGACTCTGTTCATGTCTTTCCGGCCCTCGGATGGGCAGATGTGTGCACCCCTGGGTGCCCAGGAGACCCTGACCTCTGTGTCTTTGCTGCCCGCAGCTGCGTGAGCTGGAGGACAAGTATGCTGAGTGCATGGAGATGCTGCACGAGGCGCAGGAGGAGCTGAAGAACCTCCGGAACAAGACCGTGCCCAGCACCACGTCCCGGCGTTACCACTCGCTGGGTCTGTTTCCCATGGTGAGTGGTGTCTTCTTCCCGGCAGAGGACGGCAGGGGTCCAGGCAGTGGGAGCCGTGTCGGACGTTCCGGCCACTGGAGTTGGGTGTTTACAGTTCGTGTCTCGTTGCTCAGTTCAGGTCCGAGTCTGAATCAAAGACGCTTGAGTCTGACTGGTGGTTTCTTAACTACGTAAGACACGTCGGTCCTTTCTTTTCCATTCCTCTAAATCTGTTGTCTTTTCTGCTCCTGCCGTTAAAAGTTAAATGTCGCAGGAAATTGCTTTAGTAGGGACCTCAGGGACTGGAAGATCTGACTCACAGGCTGAGCACCTCTGATCCGAAATGCTTCACAATCCAGAACTCCTTGAGTGCTGACATGATGCTCAAGGAAACGGTCGTTGGAGCATTTTGGATTTCAGATTTTCAGATTAGGTATGTTCAGTTGGCGTATATTCTGGAAATATCCCCAGATCTCAAGCACTCCTGGCCCCAGGTATTCTGGATAAGGGATACTCACCCTGTTCCTGAGGGGTTTTCGGTTTATTGTTTTTTCTGACCTTATTGGAGTGTGTGCTGTTTTGGCCTCATAAGTGCATTCCAGAATTTCTTAAATGCCCTTCCAGTTCTGCTGATTCTTTGTATACTTATTAATCATTCTCTTGGTGAGTTTCAATATCTGTGATCTGAAAAGCAGAACTCTCTCTCTGGCTAGGTGGCAGTATTCTCTCTCAGTCACTTGCTCTGTCTCCTTTCTTTCTTTCAAAAATAGAGGTAGGGTCCCGCTCCGTCGTCCAGCCTGGTCTGGAACTCCTGGCCTCAAGGGATCCTCTCACCTCAGTCTCCCAGAATGCTAGGGGTACAGGAGTGAGCCATACACTCAGCTACATTCTTTATATTATTTCACTACAGTCTAATTTTTTAGCCCTGGCCTCATTTGCTTCATGTGCTTTGGGGGAACATGATTGACAAGGGCATTTTGCAGGAGGCTGCTCTCCTTGTGGAAATCGGGCAGCCCGGGGCTGAACCCTGCGGCTGATCACTGCCCTGTGAAGAAGTGTTGTAGGGGAATGAGCTTCCTCATGTCCTCTTCTATCAGACGAACGCCCCTGGAAGGTGGGGACCCTGCCTTCTTTGTAACTTTTCCCCCTTCCTCTTTTAATACTGTGTACCTAGCCCAGCGCTTGGCATGTTGTAGAATTGTACACATTTAATAGACATTACATTTAGATGGATCTGATGGCCTGAAGAACAAGCTCAGGAACTCTGTACGTTCAGGCTCTATTTCTGTGGTTTGGTGAATGCTAAATGCTCTCTGAGGAGAGAAGAGCTCTGCAGAGACGCTCCCCCGAGTGAGGTGGCAGGGGATGGCTGCGTAAACGCTTGTGAAACTCTGTCCCTTCTGAGCGCGGGCTCTCCTTGGCACCCTTTCCCTTTGGCCCTCTTGCCGACCCCCCTCCCTCACTCCTTGTTGTCTGGTCTGCTTTCCCTAAATCATGCTTTTTTTCTTCTTTGCTTTCACGCATCAAGGTCAGGCTGGAACAGCCACCACCCCTCTCCCCCACCGCAGGAAACTTCACTGAAGTCTCAGGGAAACCAGCAAGAAAGACATGTAGTCAGCTTTCTAAGGCACAGATGGGCGATCCAGTGATTCCGGGAATCTCAGTAAAAGCAGCAAAGGATATTCAGTCCCCCAAGTTCCCTGACCTAGCGCTAAGCACGTTGCAGGCTGCTTGCCGGGCGGGGTTCCCTCCCTCCTGGCTTCTCATCTCGGTGCGGTGAGCTCCTGGCACTGTCGCGTTTCCTGGGCACCAGGATCCATTCCGCTGCCTTCCCCACTCTCAGGGACGGGCCTCTCTTTGAAAACTAAACTATTGCGTGAGAAAAGCCGACTCGCAACTTCCACTTGGGTCTCTTCTGAGGGATTCTCAGCCTCCGTATTTGCTGAGGTGAAGCTTTTGCCTCTTTCTGTAGCTCTTGGGACAGCCCAGTTTTTGAAGGTGGCTGTTTTTTAGCGCACCGTGCGTTAATTTAGAGCGGTCCGCAGACGGCAGCGTCCGGATGGCCGGGATCTGCCTCTTTTGCTCCTGGCCGTTCTAATCGCTGAATGGAACAGTGAATAGCAGTTTTTCACAGCTGTGTTCCCAGTTCTCTTGCCTTATGGCAGGAGTTCATCTGGGATGCGCAGACCAAACTCGGGCCTGTGAAATTAGTTCCTAATTGTACTCAATATTCCCTTCCTGTATGAAGGTCACCAAGCCACAGTGATATTAGCACTCCTGTGACTTTGTCATCATTAAAAATCACAGGTATTTCTATGACACGTTTCTTTTTTTTTTTTTTTTTTTTTTTTCCTTTTTTGAGACGGGGTCTTGCTCTGTCGCCCAGGCTGGAGTGCAGTGGTGCAATCTCTGCTCACTGCGACCTCTGCCTCACAAGTGGAAGTGATTCTCCTGCCTCAGCTTCCTGAGTAGCTGGAATTACAGGCTCCCACCACCATGCCCGGCTAATTTTTGTATTTTTAGTAGAGATAGGGTTTCACCAAGTTGGCCAGGCAGGCCTTGAACTCCTGACCTCAGGTGATCCACCCACCTCAGCCTTCTAAAGTGTTGGGATCACAGGTGTGAGCCACCTTGCTGGGCCCTATGGTGTTGCTACAGGTGCCTCACAGCCCGCGGATGCTGATCTCCACTTCAAAATGACAGCAATACCCAGTCCTGATCTCTCCCCTCCCTCCCCCTCTCCCTCTCCCCCACTGTCTCTCTCTCTCACACACACAGACACACGTAGTTATTCTAAGAAGGGGTCCACAGACTTGCCTGCTTTGCCAGAGGGGAGAGGGTCATGGCCATAAACAAGTCACAGAGCCTGCACGTGGCTTCATCTCAGTGTGGCTTTGGAATTAGTCATTCCTCAGTGTCTGAGGGAAGTTGGTTCCAGGAGCCCCAGCAGATACCAAAACCCTCCAGTGCCTCAGTCCCTGATGTGAAAGAGCATCGTGTTTGCTTATAACCTATGCATGCTCGTCCACATGCAAAAAAATCATCTCAGATTACTGGTAATACCTCATACATTGTAAATGCTGTGTAAATGGTTGTTATACTGTACCAATTCTTAAATTTTTATTATGTTTTGTTTTTTACCCCCAAATTTTCTATGCAAGATTAGTTGAGTCTGAGGAACCCACAGATACGGAGGGCCGACTGTAGTAATTTGACACTTCATTTTCCTTAAGGTGTATGAAGGCCCTTTCCTCTCTGTTTGTAAATTATATGGTGAATAACAGTATTAAAAAAACAGGCTGGCTTAGAAGATGTCCGACTCACCTAGGGAAGCCCTTATTAGACATCATGTTTAATTGCAATCTGTGGGTAGTAATTACAAAATAAAATGCACATTTGTGAAGAAGGATTGAGAGTAAGCCTGCCAGCCCTTTATTCATCGAGCCTCCTGCTGGCTCCTGTGGCGTCTCCTCGCTGGTTCCAGCCTCCAGACTGGAGCATCCCCGTGGACTGTGAAGCCACAGAGATGGATGCCCTGGAGGCCCCAGGCGCCGTCTGCTGGGAAGCCACTGGCCACATGTGGCTATGCAAATTTAAATCACTTAAATTGATATACAATTACGAATTCAGGTCCTCAGTCACACACCACAATTCATGTGCGCAGTAGCCACCCCTGGCTGGTGCCTTCCCCTGCCCACAAAGCTGGAGAGAGGAGCATGTGAGCTGTTGAAAGTGGCAAAGACTTCGTATGTTTGGCGTCTGCTTCTGAAGAAATGTGGATTCCTAGTGGAAGCAGGAACCTGCGTTTCCTGGGCAGGTTGTTAAAAGGTGGGTGGGCCGTGGATAGTTGGCGGGGAAAGGAACTTCCCTTTCAGGAGGGCAGGGAGGAGGAGAGTGGAGACCTGAAGATGTCAGTGTGTGTGACTCAGGCCATGCGTGTGGACCGAGGGAGGAACCAAGCCAGGAGATGCCACAGGAGCCAGCAGGAGGCTCGATGAATAAAGGGCTGGCAGGCTTCCTCTCAATCCTTCTTCACAAATGTGCATTTTATTTTGTAATTATTACCCACAGATTGCAATTAAACATGATGTCTAGTAAGGGCTTCCCTAGGTGAGTCGGACGTGCATGTGAGACCTCGCCAGCCCAGAATCAGACTGCCCTTTGGAGGTGGGAAAGGCTTCCCTAGGAGCCGAAGTTGGAAACACGTGTCTATTCTCTGTCAAAATCTTGGACACAGAGGGAGTGTGGCAGACCCTGTAGACGAGGGGGACAGTAGCTTTGTGTGGCCTGTGTGGGCTGTGGTGCCACGTCTCACTGTACGCTCAGAGGTAATCGGAAATTCACCTGTTCCATCACTGTGAACGCATCGCCCTCCCCCATAAGCTCCGCATCCCACCTTGTGGCCATGGTTGCAGCTCTGTGGTTTGGCCAAGGGAGCAGAGAGTTTGCTTTAGACACCTAACGGCATGTGAGTCAGCAGCGTACGCTCTGTGTCTGGTGGCGCTGCCATGCCCAGAACCTGCCCGACGAACGCTCAGCGGGGGTCTCTGACGGCAGAGAGTGCTGTTCACCTTGCGTTTGGGGAGACTGCGGGCTTCTGCTGCCTTGGTTTACTCTCCATGGCGCGCAGGCTGCGTGCCTCTCTCAGAGGCAGAGCGCTTGAACTGGCGCCCACTTGACATTTGTCTTCTGGTTTTTCCAGGACTCCTTGGCAGCGGAGATTGAGGGGACGATGCGTAAGGAGCTGCAGCTGGAAGAGGCCGAGTCTCCAGACATCACGTACGGCCAGACAGTTCTTACAGTTCGAGCTTCCCAGAGGCAAATGTGACCTGCGGTGTTCAAAACCTAGTGATGTTGGGGTTCTGGGTACCAACAGTGATTGACTCTTGTCCTTCCCGGACCAGATTAAGGGGAATGATAGAACACAGCTGACGGCATCCCCCAGCTCCTCCGATTAGGTTTTGTTCATGTTAATTTTTATTTATTTATTTTTTTAGACATGGAGTGTCTCTGTTACCCACGCTGGAGTGCAGTGGTGTGATCATAGCTCACTGCAGCCTCGAACTCCTGGGCACAAGTGATCCTGCTGCCTCAGCCTCTTGAGTAGCTGGAACTGCAGGTGTTGCCACCACTTCCAGCTAATTTTAAAAAGTCTTTTGTAGCCATGGGGCTTCACTATGTTGCCCAGGCTGATCTCTAACTCCTGGCCTCAAGTGATCCTCCCGCCTTGGCCTCCCCAAAGTGCTGGGGTTACAAGTGTGAGTCACTGGCCCGTGAGTCCCTGTGCTCCTCTTCTTAGGTTTTGAAAACAAGTTTTGAACTTCCAGAAAGTCCTAGAAAGGGAGATACATGTTTCTCATCTCTCTTCACACAAGCTTCGTCTTGACACAGCTGCACATTTTTATCTTTCCTTTCAGTGGAAAACATTTTTGAAAAAATTAAAAGGAATGTAATATGAGATTCAGAGGATTCATAGAGATTTGTGCAAGGCTTCCATCCCCTTCTGAACACACCTGGGGTATGAGCTTCCCCTGTCTGTCTTCCTGATGCAGCTCTGTGCTTAGCCTGCCCCAAGGTGTTCATAAGGAACCTGTGGACCAGGTTTCCTTGTGTTTTCTCTGAACCCAGACTCCATGGACAGAACTTAAGTGAGACCCTGGGTGGGACAAGCATCCAAGGGAACTTCAGTGTATGTGTGACACCCTCTGCAGCCCAGAAGGAAGTAGCCATCGTAGAAACATGCGTACCCGTTTCTCTTTAAAAGGAGACAAATGGGCATCACATTGTGGTTCTGCTCCTAAAATAGCGCTTTCTAAAAATAGGCAAATCTAGGATTTACCATCTCATTATAGAGGTTTAAGACTACCTTAAGCCTTGCTTTTCCTCCGTGAATGTTCGACAGATATGCATTCTGTAAGTATTGGCTGAATCTCTGCGATGAGCTGAGCAGTGAACCCGTCCCTGCTGCAGCACGCGTCCTAGTGATGGCGAAAAGAGAAAACTAGGAGGCAAAAGTCATGCTGAAGTATTTTTATTTGCAGGTTAAGCTTTTTAGTGAAACGCGGTTTCACTAGCATCACCTTTAGGGTACAACCAGGTGTTCAAGTCCTGGATGGAGTGAGTGTTTAATCTCTAAAGTTTCACATTGTGATGCAGGCAACCAACACCCTAAAAAACACACAGGATAGTGGGCTGCTAGGGACGCGCACGGCCAGGTGTCCTCTCGGCCCCTCAGTGCACAGGATGGTGGGCTGCTAGGGACGCACACGGCCAGGTGTCCTCTGGCCCCTCAGTGCACAGGATGGTGGGCTGCAGGGACGCGCACGGCCAGGTGTCCTCTCGGCCCCTCAGTGCACAGGATGGTGGGCT